AATCAAAATGAGTCAAGCTCCAATTCTTAGTCTGCCAAATTTTGAAAAAGTTTTTGAAGTTGATTGTGATGCTTCGCATGTTGGTATTGGTGCTGTTTTAAGTCTTGAAGGAAAGCCTATTGCATACTTTAGTGAAAAGTTAAATGATGTTCGATCTCGATATTCTACTTATGGCTTGTAATTTTATGCCATTGTTCAAGTTTTGAAATTCTGGAGATGCTATTTGATTCATCAGGAATTTATTTTAAATACTGACCACAAAGCTTTACGATTTTTGGGTTCACAAAAAAATCTGAACAAAAGACATGCAAAATGGGTTTCTTTCTTGCAAGAGTATTCTTTTCATATCAAACATAGGACTGAGGTTTTGAGTAAGGTTGCTGATGCTTTAAGTCGAAGATCTCACTTGTTGATAACTGTTTTTCCGACTATTACTTCTTTTGATTTTTTGAAAGATACTTATGCAAGTGATTCTGATTTTAAAAATATTTGGGCTTCTTGTCTTGCTTCTGGAACTAATCCTTCTGCTCAGTTTGTTATACATCAAGGTTTTTTGTTTAAAGGAACTAAACTTTGAATATCTAAGAATTCTTTAAGAGAACAATTTGTGAGAGAATTACATAGTGGATGTTTGGGAGGTCACTTTAGGCAAGGAAAAACAATTGCTTTAGTTGAAGAAAAATATTTTTGGCCTCATATGAGAAAGGACATTGCTAAGCTGGTTAAACAATGTAAAATATGTCAGGCTTTTAAAGGAACTGCACAAAATTCTGGTTTGTATACTCGTCTGCCTATTCCAAACAAACCTTGGGAAGATATTTCTATGGATTTCATTTTGGGTTTGCCGGTTACTTCTCGAAAATTTTACTTTGTTTTTGTGGTTGTGGATCGATTTAGCAAAATGGCGCATTTTATTCCCTGTAAGAAAACTTCTGATGCTTCTTACATTGATGATTTGTTTTTCAAAGAAATTGTTCGTCTGTATGGTATTCCTCGTACTTTTACTTCTGATCGAGACACTAGATTTTTAAGTCATTTTTTGAGAACTCTGTGGGCAAAACTTGGAACTGCTCTTCAATTTAGTAGTGCCTATCGTCCTCAAACTAACGGACAAACTGAAGTAGTCAATAGAAGTTTAGGAAATTTGTTAAGATGCCTTGTTGGAGAAAAACTATCTCAATGGGATTTAGTATTACCTCAGGCTGAGTTTGCTTACAATAATTCTGTTAATCGTTCCACTGGCAAAACTCCATTTGAAATTATTTATGGGCAACTTATTCCTCACATTTTAGATAGGAACTCCTTATCCTTACCTAAAAAAACTAGTGCTGAAGCTTTTGAAACATTTGACCACATAAAAACTGTCCAACAACAGGTCATTGAAAAACTTCAAAAGACTAATGCTAAGTACAAGTCTGCTGCTGATAAACATCGAAAATCAGTGAATTTCAATGTGGGTGATTTGGTTATGGCTTACTTTCGTCACCAACGATTTTCTGTTGGTACTTTTAGAAAGTTAAGCAGAAAAAACTTTTCATGTGCTTCGAAAATTAGACACTAATGCCTACTTGCTAGATCTACCAATTACTATTGGCACTTCTCCTTTTTTTAATATTTCTGACCTATCTTTATATGAAGGAAATTCTGATGATTCTATAGACATTGAAACTTTGCCACTCTCTACTCCTTTGGAAAGTATGAAGATCAAATTGAAGATGTTGTTGATATGAAAGTCACTTAAACAAGACATGGGGAACACAAGAGGTTCTTGGTCAAATGGAGCAATCGATCATTAATTGACTGCACCTGGATTGATGCTGCTGATCTAAAAAATTGAAATTTGGACCTTTATGAAAGAGTTGCTAAAACGTTCTCATCGGAAGATGAGAATTTTTCACCAGGGGGGAATTGATGCTATCAAATATTATGTACTTTTATTTTATAATGAAATTAGTATGTTTTTTTATGTTCTTTTCTTTTTTTTGCTATCCAATGATGAGAAAGCATCCAATGATCATGGTAGGTAGTGCTTGGGGCTTGGTAGACCTTTGGTTTGCTGGCACGATTGGTCCTTGGCTGCTGCTGGTTCACAGGTTGGCTTATGGTCCACGATTTTGGGGCCTATGCTGATTTGTGGAGGAGGTTGGTTCGTTGGAGTTGAGCTCATTTTCTTAGTTGCTAGCTCATTAATGATGAGCTAAAGTTTAGTAGCTCATTAATGTTCTAAAGGTAAGCTCATAAGTTGGATTCATTATTGGAGTGGAGAGCATTTTTGCTATTGACCTGCGGGTTATTGGAAAAGCTTGCGAGCTTGTTCCATTCTTCTTCCTTTCTCTCGAGGAAAGACTTGTGAGTGCTTTCCACCCTTCATCTTGGCTTCTAATTTCTTTCATCTCTCCGCAAGTTCCACTCCATCTGTATCCTTCTTCTTGAGCTTTGGTGGTGTTTGTTGGCTGATTTGGGAGCATTTGCTGGAGGAGTTTGGATTGATCAGTTGGACTATCGTGCAGTGGTGGACCATCGGTTTGCTAGCCCTAAAGCACTTATTTTACTTAACCTATATTTCGATGCATGTGAGGAACCCGCTCTGACGGTTGTCTGAGGATAGCATTGTTTTTATTTTCTTTATTTCTTTGAATTCTCTTCTAGCTTTCTTCATTGAATTTTGGATGTTATAGATGATTTCTACTATTTGAATCAAGTTTGGTTTTAGTTCTACTCTTTGTTCTCTTGTTCTTGGCTTTTCTAACTAGTGTGCTTACATCACACACCAAGAAAGGCATGTCTAGGTACTTGTATTTTTTTGGAGGCATGATCTTTTTCTCCTTTGCACCAAGAAAGGTGTGTATAAGGCCTTCAACTCCCATCATGCCAATAAAGACGCTTACAATGATCTATATGAGGAATAAGCAAACAAAATTGGCTTTCCTCTCATATAGAAAGTTGGATATGGATACTTATATAGAGGCTTGAGCTTTCCTTACAATATACCTTACACATGAAATGGTGACTATGGCACGTGTGCGGTGAATTGACAAGATGAATAGTGACATTTTTTTCTCATTTTTACTCTCATTTTAGAGAAAGTGAGGAGATAAAATGGAGATAGAGAAAGAGTGAGTGAGAGGGAAAGAAAGTGAGATAAAGAGAGAAAGAGAGAGAGAAGAGAGAGGGAGTGAAAGAAAAATAAAGAGTTTATAAGCTTGAAAGATAAAGAGAAAGAGAGTGAGCTAGAAAGAAAAAGAGAGTGAGAATTAGAGAGAGAGAGAGAGAGAGAGAGAGAGAGAGAGAGAGAAGGGATAGGGAGAAGGAAAGAGAGAACGAGACTAAGGACATTAGAGAGAGAAAGAGAAAAAAGAAAGTGAGAGAAAGAGAGTTAGAGAGAAAGAGAGGAAAAAGAGAGCTAGAGGAAGGAAGAGTGAGAGGAAAAGAGAGAAGGGAGATAGAGAGATAAAGAGAAGGAAATGGGGATATAAGAAGAGAAGGAGAGGAGAAAAATATTGGATTTAGATGAAAATGATAGATAATGTGGTCACGATAGTTGTTTAGTAGCAAGCTTTGAATGGTATTTAATATAAATTTGCAAGTCTTTGAACTCCACACACAGCTTGTCCTGTCGATGCCTCTCATGTGCTCCCTGTGGTTTCCTTGATTCTTTGTTGATGACGATTTTTGGGTATCAATCGGGAGTGGTTGATTCAGAGAGCTAGAGAGGGAATGTGCAAGTGAGCAAGAGTGAGGGTAGTTGGGGTTCATATGAGTGTAGATGTGAGGGACCGCTACTTAATTTGACTAGGCGAGGATAGGGCATAGGTATAAGGAAGTGAGGGAGATTTGGGGTGCATGAGCTTGGGTATGGCATGGGTTGGTGGTGTGGGCTTAGGTAGAGTTTGTAGGATTTTTTTTTAAATAATATTAATATTAATAATTTGATTATATATTAATTTATAATTTCTTCTCCCCCCTTTATATATATGCATTAAAAAAGTAAGTTAATGTATGCGTCGACTTCTCATCATTTGCGAACATTGATTTGTACACGGACACGGGTTGGACATGGTCAATTATTGAAAATATAGGACACGGACACGGTTGGACATGGTATTATGATTTTTATATTTTAAAAATAATGTATAAAAATTAAATAAGTATAATTTTAAAGATAATTTAAAAATAATAAGTCATTTAACAAGAATTTGTGCTTAAAATGATTATTGTTAGGATGTCGAGAGTTGAGTGTCGATGTCGTTTATCAGTCTTCGAGAGAGGAGATGAAAATACCTTTACTGTCAAAGAGAAATGAAAATGATATTATTCGATGAATGGGGTATTAAGTACAGACAATTGATTTGGTGTTATGGATAGGAAATAAGAAATTTAATTTTTATATTTTAAATAAGTAAAATTTTTAAATACAAGAAATTTTATTTAAAAAATTCATAAAATATTTAAGATATGTGTGTCAGACGCGTGTCCAATTTGTTTTTAATATTTTTTTAATCGAACACATTTTCGGCGCGTCTGACACGTGTCAGAGGAGTGTCGGACGCGTATCGTGTTGGATACGTGTCGGACACTACACGCCTCTTTGAGAAGAAGTGTCAGTGCATCATAGCCTTTGATGCAATGTGCAATTTGATTTCATATTGTTCATGCTAAGTTGTGAGTTGCATCATAAAGTTTGTGTACGTCCTGAATTATGCCTCGTCTTGTTGAATGAATTGTCATTCCTAGATTATGTAATAACTTTTTATTATAAATGTTATTGTAACACTTAATACCACTGCTCTTAAGTTAGTAGTTGAATTTGGCACTCTGGTTTTCTTTCTCACTTTTATAAAGAGGGAGCAGGGTATAATATACTTCTAAAATAATCACTATACTACTTAAGAATGTTTCATTTGAATGTGTAGGCTTTTTTTTCCCAGCCAAAAAATTACATGTACAGAATTTCCAAACTCTATATTCTTTGAGCGAGTAGCTTTCTGGAATTGTTGCAGAGTAATCCTATTGCACGGTGGCACATTTCCCAGGGTTCAATCAACAACTTGTCTTTCTCAACAAATGGATATTTGGCGACAGTTGGGAGGGATGGTGCATATTTTCTCCTATCCCCAGATAATATTTTTGTTGCTTATTTCGTATCATATGCTATTTTACCTTCAATTAAGATCCTGTTATGTTATTTATTATTGACTACGATATGTTATCCTTGGCAGGTTATTTGAGAGTATTTGACTTTGCAAATGAGAAATTAATCTGTGGTGGGAAAAGCTATTATGGTGCTTTGTTGTGTTGTGCTTGGAGGTATTGTTCAGGGCACTCGTTTTATTTCTTGGGCTGTATCTATGGCTGTAGTGTTATTAACTAACATGTGGTTCTGTGCTAATTTTCTCCAAGTTTTATGTCTTCAGAACCATAAATCACTGAATATCTCTTAGCTTGATTTCATGTCCATTTTTCTTGTATGCTTCACAATTCTGGAGTCTGGGCTTATTTACAGCTCCTGTGATCTTATACTTCCATCTATTGGAACAGCTCCTGTGGGTTAATTCACCATACGCAGTTATGTTTCTGGATTTATGTCAATTAGCAAACTCTGTTTTTATAGTTGCTTAACATTCTATAGGTTCATAGCAATGAGTATTACATTTATTCTTCATCTTACCATTATAAACACAGTTTTTTTCCCCGAAGTAATGGTGTAGAAACCGCTCTTGTTCTTCTTCCCTACACTTGGTTTTCATTGCAGTTGTCTCCAACATCATACTTGAAACCTTGTTGCCTACATTTTCAAAGTTTATTTTCTGTGAAAGTTTAAACATTCCCTTTTACATTTTTTAATGCTCTAAAGGATTTAAATATCTCATCTTCATAGCTTGGATGGAAAATACGTATTGTCTGGCGGCGAGGATGATCTTGTTCAAGTTTGGAGCATGGAAGAGAGGAAGTTAGTTGCATGGGGTGAAGGTCATAATTCATGGGTTAGTTATTAAAAGGGAAATTTTTATAACTCACCATTCTATTTTTTTAACTGCTGTATTACCAGGTTAGTGCGGTTGCCTTTGACTTGCATTGGCCAGCACCAGATTCAGATGAAACAGGAGAAAATGTGGTGTATCGTTTTGCATCCGTTGGACAAGTAAAATCTCAGTGACTTATCAATTTACTCTAGTATGCTTGTAAGACTTTAATTTTTTATGACACAATGAATTATGCGTGCGCGATAAGAATGGACTTTTCTCCTCTTATGTTGAGGATGTCCATATTCTATTTTTATGTATTTCGAACCTATCCATCTTCATCAGTGCTATTAAAATTAGTGAATTAATGATTTTAATTTATATTTTAAATTATTTTTTCATCCATCAATGCATCAAAGAATTTACTGTTTTTATAATGATTCGAGTGTTTATCAAGTGTGTTTAGAAACCTAGGGAAATAAATATAAAGTCCATCAACGTAATAAAGGTTTGTGTGGTTGATGGTTTGGATCTTATTATAAGAAGGTTGTGATTTTTGTAGTGTTGTCTTCCAAATCCATTAGTGGAAATGAATTTTGATATGAGCTTCTATAAGTTTTCAGATTTGCTTCGGTTTGTATACACACTCTTTGAACAATAAAATCATTAAGAAAGCTCGTCTGTAAGCAGTTTCCAATGTGTTGGTTAGAATTAATGGTGTGTTTGTGCATTTGAAATTCATAGTAGGCACTAGATGATAGACATACTTTGGCTGAGACTAACATTAGTTACTTCATCAATAAAGAAACGGATGCAGGATATAACTACTATCGGCTTTTCTATTGCAAACTAATGCAATGTAAATATAAAGGATGAAATGCAAATTTTATGAATTTTTAATAGCAAGATTGTTTAATGCAGAACTATATGTAGAATTTAGCTTGCACAAATTTACGAGGAAGTATATATATATATATATATATATACACACACACATGGACACGTGTATATGATAAACAATAGATGTGTTACGATAGAAATAAAATGTGAGAATTTGATATCAAATATTGAAACACTAGAATTCAAGATTTCATAAAATAAGAGTCCGGGTATTCCACATATTTACAACAACATTAATAATATCAAAATTTAATCCCACTACATGGGGTTGACTACCTGAATCAATTTTCTCCATTGTCCTGTTAGGTGTCAGATTTTCGTTTACATCTAATAGAAAAAGGTCATTTCTAATCATGTTTTCTTAGGTCTACATTTACTTATCTTAACATAGGTCAAATTTATTACATTTACTCTACTAACTGGGTCATCGGAAGACCAACATTTTATGTGATCAAACCATCTAAGGCAACATTTTATATACTCGCTTCGTATTCTATCTCTAAGAGTGAAGCCACTCATCCACCTGAGCATCATTGTCTCTGCAACACTTAATTTTATGCTTCTTTTTTATTGTCCAACATTTTGATCCATAAAGCATTGCAGGTCTCACCATCATCTTATAAAATTTTCTCTTAAGTTTGCAGGGTATTTTTCTATCATATATTCGGACCGTTGCATTTCACCACTTCAACATCCAACTTGATTTCTACAAATAATATCCCCATCTATTTCACCATCCCTTTGAACAATAGACTCGAGATATTTAAAATGTGTATTCTTTTTAGTTACTTGATCACATAATATCACAATCTCGCTACTAGATCTATTACTACTAAAATTACACTCTATATATTCGATTTTAAATTTATTCAAATGAAAATCTTTAGCCTATATGGTTGATCTCCATAATTCACGTTCTCTTTCAACACTCTCTAGTTTTATCCTCAAGAAAAATATCATTAGCAAAAAACATGCGCTATGGTACATCCTTTTGCAAGTGTCTTGTATAAGCATATGTGATTAAAGAAAAATGATATGTGCTTTAAGCTGATCCTTGATGTAATTCAACTGAAATAGAAAAATAATTGGTCAAATTACATTGTATTTGAACAGCTCTATATATATATATGTATATATATCCTTATCCTTAATGAATTGAATATAAATATTATCATCTACTCTCTTTTAGAACTCTCCATAGCACTTCTCTTCAAACTTTATCATATGATTTCTCAAAATCAATAAATTTCATATGTTGATCCTCCTTTCTTTTTCTATACTTCTCCATCAAACATCTCAATAAATCTATAGCTTCCATACTAGATCTACTCGGTATGAATCCAAATTGATTTTGAGAAATATTAGTATCATGTCGTTAACCTATGCATAATTACTCTACCCCATTATTTTAATGTATGACACATTAACTTCATTCCCCTATACTTCACTCACTCTTGTACATCACTTCAATTCTTAAGAATAGGAACCAACATACTCCACTGCTCATTTGACATCTTTTTAGTCTTCAAAATAATATTAAAAAGTTTAGTAAGCTAGGTTTTTTTTAATCTTCAAAATAATATTAATGTGTATACCAATCATATGGATAAATACGATTTCCCTCTTGCAAATAAAGGAAGTTGATACATGTAATGGCGGGTTTGCAAGCAAACGTCAACATGGATATTCTCAAGTCCATTATACATGCTATGGATTGTTTTCAAAGGACAACAAAGAGTTTCTCCAAGAGATGGTAGACGCCAACATATAGCAAAATAATCTATGGGCCCATATATGCACGATAAATGTTATACCCACATTCAAGCAATAACAGTAGGAAAATTATATAGTTCACTGTAAGTATTGGAGATTAATATAGAATGAACGCGACGACCCATTAGTCGATATACATGAAGAAGTAAGTGGAGAATGCAATGACACATCATTTATAGACGACAATAATCAACAGATAACAACTCGCCAAATCAACAGGTACGAAGAGATTATTGACAAATGTAATTCAATATGTGGCCAACCTCAAATTGCAAGTGAATACATTGACATGTGTGCAAATAAAAATAGCAAGTACGATATGGAAAGGCTATGACAAATATAAGCTCATACAAACTAATGTGGGAAACTTATTATGCCATCCATGGATAATACAGAATAACCCCAGCAGATTCAAGCTCCCATGATACATGGTAAGAGAGCTGCCACATATACTGCATATCATTTATGGGCAAATATCGAAAGCGTCACGACAAGTTTAAGACTCCTACGAGCTATTGGAAAAGATTCCTATACATCCAATGTACTGTTCACAAGAAACGACCAACATGAATGTGACAAATGAAGGGGAGCTGAACTATATAAGTTTCATATACGTGAACTGATAATATCAGACTGCTACAGACATGACTACAAAAGGCAAATAGCATACATAAGATATGACCTATTTGTAAGCAAAGATTAAGTAAAAATGTAAGGACATGTCTGTACTCAATAGCAAGGGATTCTAAGGAATAACCATTGATTTCAAAGTATAGAACACAGTAAAGATACAGTTATCCAATGTTGAAATGATTGATTCTTTATTTAAACCAATAATAGAAGATGATGATGATGGCATAATTAGAGAGTTGCTCGTTGATTCCCATACGAGTTTTGGGAAGAGAAAACCGGATCAAATCAAGATGGAATGAGTCTTAGTTCAACCAGGTTTCGATCGGATAAGATTGAAGCTTGCAAGCTTCTTGATGAACAGTGATCATACATCTAACGTGCCTTCTACATACTAATATTGAAGTATTACGACAAATGCAAACTTCTACGAGCCGTCGTAGAAGACCCATCAAATGCCCAAAATGCCCCTGCACATACACCATAATATATATGCACACAAGTACACAAAAGGGGGTATACAATCATACACCCGTATGGGCCCCGACGAGAGTGTTATGGGTATACACGTGACATATAGGAATGTTGCACGGGTGAACTAATTTGAACCCGATTCTCTTAAGTAGGTAAAAAGAAGTCGACAAGGTTTAATTATAAAATGCCCCTAAACACCTGCATGGGCCACGACGAGCGTGTTATGGGTATACACGTGACGTCTAGGAATACTGCGCGGGTCAATAAGTGAATTCAAGTTCGATCCCGATCCTTCTATGCGGATTAACAGGAGTCGACAGGGTTGGAACCATGGAATATTGATCGAGTCCTTCATCAATTCCCCCACCATCTGCTTTAAGTGAAAGATGGTGAAATTTTCAATTTTAAATATCAAACTTTTCAAATTCCTATGCCCGTTGCTGCTACTATATGCTAGATACACGAATCTTTACGTATCTGATTGACGACTAGCCTTAATTGAAAGTTCTCTCTCATTTCGGGAGGGGTAATTAACTATAGGAGCTTGCGCCTATAGGAAACAAGAACTCAGATCACAAAGTCCTCACAAAATGAGGGCGAAATCTCTGAGTAGTGTCTTATCTACAAACTCATCTGCCTTCCAAAATTTACCCCGAAACTTATTCCGTTAAAACTCTCCCGAACGAAAAAGCAACAAGCGGGCGGAGACTGGGGCCGAATTTTTGGAGCCCACAAGATGCCAATATGCCTCGAGCAGAGGAGCCAAGGACACTAAAACCTAATGTGCCTATGTCAAAATCTTTGATAATGTTTGGTCTGATGCTAATTAACATCCTTGGCTAAAGTAAATCTTTTTTAGGAGTCAAAAGTTGTAATAGGGAGAGTTATTAATACCATGCAACTTATATGGTATGAATACGCTAGTCGAGACTTCGTACTAAATCTAGCTTCCATTTGGCACCTCCTTTCTGTTGTACTCAACTTAACTATACCCTCTTGACTTGGGTTTGTTTGTCTTTTGTGCCTTCTTTGGAGCTTGTTTCCTGAATATATGAGTATTGAGTGTGCTCATTAGGGGCCCCTCGATATCAAAGGCCTTGGCGTAGTCCTTCACATGTTGATGATAGCGGAGATAACATTATTTCCATTTCTTTTCTCTTTATTTTCATCATCATTTTAATTATTGTTTTTTTTTTGTACTTGATGCTTCATTCTTGTTTGTATAATAATCGGTTTGGCTTGGTCGGTTCAACCGAACCGGCCAGCCTTCTATTATTAGCCGCGACCCAACAGAGGGTTGCTACAGATCATTCGCGCGAAACAGAGAGGGCGGCGACGGCTTCGTGCGTAAGATCAAGGTAGGTTTTTCTTTTCTCCGATTTTAGCAAGTGATTATCTTCAA